GGAGTCAAATCAAGCATTTAAATGTGATGAATATAACAAACCAAAGATTATTTGATTTCAACATCATTAAAGCACTTAAATGCTTATTTTAAACTTTTGGGTCATTGCAGAATTGTAGTTGAGTGATGGATGTCAGAGAATTGTAATCGAGCGATGGTGGTAGGTGGATTATAGTCGGATGATAGTGATCAGAATGACTGATATTCAAAAGATATTGTTTGGTCATGAAGGTCTGATTGTGATAGTCGGATGGATATGGTATGATAATGTGATTGGATAACATTAGTATTATGTTTGAAGTTCTCTCAATATTCAAATTAATGTCCAAGTTGCCCTCATCTTTCATATAGAAAATGAGGTCCAATTAATAAATTATGAGTGTGAAGTTATCTATAAATGTACCTAAAATTCAAAGCACTCCATTGGAGGTCTATATTGATCACGTTGATCAAAGACCCAAAAAATATCTCTGTGGCGTTGAAGGCTCTATTCTACAACAACTCTAGGGGTAGCTTGCAGCACTGTATCATGCATATCGAGGTGTTGGGCACAAAAATTAAATTTTAATATTTTTTTAAATATCCCCGTAACCCACTACCCCTCCCTCACACTCATATTGCTTGGCTGGGAAGGAAGAAAGGAGGAGGAGAGAGAGAGAGAGAGAGAGAGTTGCATTTTATGGATTAGTGCATTTCATACATAATATTCAATGAGAAAAAGATTTGACATATATAAAATACATGACTTAGAAGCTCTGTGGTCAGTCTAAATTAAAAAAAAAAAAACTGAAAAGTTTCCTGAAACTTAGATCTATTCCAATTCAACACAGTATGACCAGTTCGTCTTTGAGTCATATTTAACTGGGTTGTGACATATAGTCACTTAAATCATCCACATCATAAATCTAAAGTCATACATTGGGTTTCAAGGTTTGGGTTCCATCTTCACATGGTCGCCCATATTTTGAAGATTTCTATAGATCCACTCCATGAAACTTTAGTCCAAAGCTTCTAAACTAATTAATAATACCAACCTCCAATGCCATTCCCCCATTTAGAAGCCAAACCTTAGGCCTCCACCGAATTTGCTATCATAGCACATAGTTGGAGAAGACAAACACTGAACAATCCACTAAGGAAGAGTTTTCTTTATTTGACAATTAGGTAAAATATTTTTCCTCTATCAATTTTCTTTTAATGTAGTTTATTTATATATTATATAATAGGTTTGCTTTGTTAGAGGGTAATTCTAAGAAAAAACACGTTATTCATCCAATTAATTGACTCTATAGACTTGACTTAGTCGTTTTTCATAAATTTCAATTATTTGCTTGCACAACATGCCATCTAAATCCGTTAGATCGGAGTCAAGATTATAGAGGACCTTAATTGATCATGATGAGAGATTTGATCAAGTCCAAAACTTTTATAACCTTAATTCTCTTCCTTTCACAAAGAGAGAGAAAGAGAGTATAATATGCCCATTTTAGGAAATTTTATTAGGTCCGGACACCTGACGTAGCTCTACATCCGGATGCCAATAAAATGTCGCCACGTGCTCTTACTTTTTACCGCGCGGCCCGACGACCCGACCCGGACCGGAACCCAATATTGCTATGTATTAGCTGATTTGTACAGACCTGGGTATTGCTATGTTTTGCTCGGTATTGCTCGGTAACGAGAAATACCATTTTGTCAAGACCAATACCTAGCAATACCGAGCAATACCCCAGTTTTGCTAGGTATTGCTCAGTATTGGTCTTGACAGAGCGGTATTTCTCGTTATTGTTAAGCAATACCTAGCAATACACGAACATAACAATACCGGGTTTCCATTCTGGGTCGGGTCGTCGGGCCGTGCGGTAAAGAGTAAGAGCATGTGACGACATTTTATTAGCGTCCGAATGTAGAGCCACATAAGGTGTCCGGATCTAATAAAAATTCCCATTTTAGAGAGGATTTCGCATTTCAAATAAGAATATTATTCATGAATCACAACAATCAAGTAAAAGCTTAAATATGACGGGTCACCTTTGCTAAAAAGAACAAAATAGTATGATCTGTCGCTTCAATTTTGCTTTCCTTGAAATAGGCCACAGAAAATGATTGCAACGCCCATATAATAAACGAGCAGGTACCACATAAGAATTAACATTTTTTTAACTTTTCCATATCGAGAAATAATGAAGTTTCATCATTTTGATTGCCATCAGCAGCAAAAATTATTACAAATTCACCCATTCTTTTCTTATTTAATTCATATCGAAACAAAAATAGTATTTTGAAAATTAGGGATGTTTAACTGGACAATTAATGTTTTAATAATTTTGTAAATTAAAATATTACTTCAATGAATTGGTTTGTTTGTTTGGCTTGGTGTTTTAATGAACGTGAATTTATGCTGAAATTCCTTCCTTTTTCAACGGGATGTTCCAAAAAATCTTGTCTTATAGTAGAAGGTGTAAGTGAATAATAAGCCGACACCTATCGATGCTTAGCTTGGTTGGTGGGCCACTAGGTTGGGGAGAGGCATTGCCTCTTAAGTGGGGTCCAATCAAGTGCGGGCTTAGAGATTTACAGGGTGGGTGTCTCTTTTGGATCAGTTGAAGATTAGTCACGCTGCCAAGAGCCTTTCGAAGGTAGCAGCGAGTGGATACCCCGTTCAAAAAAAAAAAAAAAAAACTGATTTGAAAGACGTCTAGAGGTTGGCACTATAAATGACTCCTGAGTTGAACTCGATGAACTAATCATCCAAAGTCTAACACGCGTCATTATCTCCCAAATCAGCTTGTTTAAAAAATAATAATATAAAATCCATTTAAAATATATTAGTATTTAAAACTTTAAGAAAAAAATTTAAAAATACTTAACAATAAAGCTCACTTCATTATATTAAATCATTGCTTACTATTTTTTTTCTAACTTCTCATTCATTTAATTATATTCTTATAATAATTACTTAAAGTCAAAATTACTTTTTTTTCTCTTTTTAATAATAAATGAATGAAACCGGACAGGAGGGGGTTCGACGAATCCACGTCGATGATCCGGTGACCGTGTCCGGATACATATCCAAGAACTCCTCGAAAGAAATCACACCTGAATAAAATTCAGATACGAAAAGACACAAAACTCCACACAAATATTATTCATCTCAAAATCCCCCCCTTTCAATCAATGTCTGCATGTATATATAGACAAATATAACAACATAATAGGCTATATGCAATAGAAGAAAACACTAATCCTATACAACCATATAAACTACCAAACAGAATCAATCTAGCCTAAAGTAATAAAATTAAACAGCTCAAGTCCGGCATCATAGTGCCGGGGTAGGAGGAAATTCAGGCTCATAAGAAAATATCTGATTGTCCACCCTAAGGAACTGGGTTGGGTTGACAAAACTGGTCTGGATATTTCAACCCATTATCCTATTTGAACTCGATTAATTAATCAAACACAAACTCACACGTCTATCTAATAGTGACAAATAAGCGGTAATTAAATTAATATAATAGGTTAAAATTAAGTATTAAAAAATCCTTTATTATTTATTGAAATCACTATTCCCTCAAATAAACATACAAGTTTCATTATCGTCGGAACACAAATAATGGTGGTAGTGAAGTCCAGCTATAGTTTAACTATTTCGTGGTTGCTTTCAACTTTCCGGATTGCTTGGATCCCAAATAACAGCATCCACTACAATTTCCCAGAGTTGTAGCTTAATCAACCTCTCAAGCTAATTAATACAAGTCGATGAGAAATTTTGACCCTTTTGACAAAAACATTCAACCAAAACCATTGGGTTGGAATTTATTAAGAACCCATCAGTCCTTGGCCACAAAAACGCATGGAAAGTAAGAAGAAAGGTCAAACAATGACCGTGAATTGGGCAGGGATATGCTCAAATGCTGACAACTCTCATCAGCTATTTGGCTAATTGGTCGGCTAAATTTTACTATTTTTATTAATTTTTTATTTGTTTTAATCATTGATCATTTGAAATTGTCTTATGTTATTTTAATAGTAAAAATATTAAATAAAATGCAATTTTTTTCACCATTAGTCGCATTTTGAATTAGATTAAGTAGTGAAAAATATTAATTCTTTGTGGAATCTAATTGTACCGATCAATCGTGTTTGCATTATTAACTTATTACTTATATCTCAATTTTGTTAATCAGGATTATTGAATATTGCAAAGAGGCCTACCCTTCCTTTAATTTAAGAGCATTGAGTCTACTTTTTTTTTTTCAACCTAGTCATATAAAGCTATTATTCTAGCATTATGACAAAGAGCGGAGTGTCATACTACTTCAAAACTCTAAGCTACAAGACTATCAATCAAACTTAAAACAGAGTGGAGCGTCACTGCAATCCAAATCATAGCGCCACCATATTAAGAGTGGAGCTAGATAGTTTTTTTTTTTAAGTATAATAGTTGCATCACTAGGGATGGTTTTCATCAATTCTATATAGAACATAGTGAAGGATTCATTTAGGACAGCTTTTTTATTATGTTTTTAAAATAACCTTCAAATTTAAAAATTAAAATTTTTATACTAAAAAATTACTTAAAAAAGAATTAAGAAAGTCATCCCAAACAATGTCAAAATGAGATTAAGGATGAGTGAGAGACAAAGAGATCAATAAAATTTCTCCCATTTTTATAACAAATGTTAAAGAGCGATGTAGTTCTATAATTTTTTAAAAAATTTTGAGTTGTTCTACGTTAAATTTTGGATTTTTTTCTACTGCATTTTCGCTTTCTTGTTTGTTTTCGCTGCGGTGCTTATGCTCAACAAAATAAAATTCAAATTTAACATAAAAAATAAAATAACATAAGGGGCACAAGCCATTTCAAACCAAACAGTTCTATAAAATACAAGAACAAGCTTGGCATATAAAAAACTACATAATCAGTTAATTTAAACTTTATATAAAGAAATTCTAAAAAAAAATAAAAAAAAACGTCACCACCCAAAAAAAAAAAGGAAAAAGCCAAGACATTTCCATGCTTCATAATGATTAGGAAAAAAGAAAAAAAAAAGAAGGGAGAAAGAAACCAAGGTTAGGGGATAATAAAAGCCCTTCGGAAAGAAAATATTTACAAACGATGCCATGGGCAAGCGTAGTAGTGTTCAGGAAGCCGCCGACGGCTGGCGAGCAAAAGGGTAGAACCGGGGTTTAGGGAAGAGAGAAGTAACGAAGGGGACTGGCGGCTTATCAGAGCCGGTCGGAGGAATTGAACTGGCGGTCGGAGCGGCGGTTGAAGTTTGGTTGGCAGCGGCGGCGGAGGAAGAATTGGAGGAGACGCGCTCGCAGGAAGGACACATGGAGAGAGTGGTGGCCGGAAGCTGCATGTAAAAGGGTTGTGAGGTCTTGAGGGCTCGAAGCTCGGAGAGCTCTTTTTGAAGGCGACGGTTGTCCTCTCTAAGCGTTTCGCAGCAGCGCTTGAGGTATTCACAGTCCACCTCTGTTTGCTTAAGCTTGGTCCTGCGTCCATCAAACATTATTATGATTATACGTATCCTTTTGCAGAATAAAGATGAAATACAAAAAAAAGATCATTTTTTTGTGGATCTCTCTCTTTCTCTCTCTCGGAACAGGGAGATGACAGAAAGGACTCCTTTTTACAGGATTTCTTTATAGTTTTGTTTCAGGGAAGAAAATCATAATCTCTATCAAACAGAAAACTTCCTTAATTCTCCGGCTACTCAAATATAATTGGAACCAGCAAATCCCGTCCAGAGTCTTTCTACTTTGAAACGTATAGGTGGATTCGGAGAGAGACAGAAATAGAGAGATATTTGATGGAGAGATCAGCATACCTTGCACGGCGGTTTTGAAACCAAACTTCAACCTGCCGGGGCCGGAGATTCAGCTGCTTGGCAAGAGCAAGCTTCTGTTTCTGAAGCCATAGACAGAAAAAAAGATTGAAACTTTTAATATGCTGAAAAAAGTTTAAAGAAAAATATTTCAGACGAGATAGTGGTAATCATACCGGGTTGAGGGTGCTGTGCTCTTTGAAGCTCTCCTCCAAGAACGCAGACTGCTCTTTGGACAGCCGGAGCTTCTTCCTCGACCCGCCGTTGTCTTCTTCATCGCTTGCCCTGGACGATGTCCTCTCCAAGTCCGCCGCCGCCGCCGCCGACATCCCAACTCCACCGGCGAAATCCACGTGGAAGGATGAAACCGTGCTGTTCGGTGATGACGACACAGCAGCCCCATCTTCCGCCGATGGCACCTGGTTCACATCCAAAACCCTAGTCGTCGCCTCCAAATTCCCTAATTTTACCCGAATCTAAGTTAATAATCAATATTTTACCGTGCTAAATATACCGAAAGATAACAATAAAACAGAGTAATCCGCATGAAAGCGAGCAGGCTATGAAGCAAAAACGGCTGAAAAATGTAAAGATCGATCCATGTTTCCACATCATTAATGAATAAAGTTTTCTAGCAGTTTTTAGCGTAATAAAAACGAAACCAAAAAAAAAAAAATCTCATCTTTTAGAACATACTGTTCTCCGTCGACCATGGAAACCCCATTTCCTGGCGAGGAAGCGGCACAAGCGGAAGGAGATTAAGCTGAACCGGCGAATCCACAGACCTTCTTCTCTTCCCTCTCTCCTCCATCTCCCAGTTTCTACCTCCACCTATATCTTCTTCATCCTCTTCCCCTCTCCTCTCCCGCCCACCTCCTAGCTCCATGCAAAATCCCAGCTTCAATTTCGTACTCGGCCTTCCTCTCTCGCCGACGATCTTCTCCGCCGGCGGCTCTCCCAAGCTCAGCGCTAGCTCCATCTCAGAAAGATTATAAAAAACAAAAAAGCAATAATCACAAGAAGAGAGAAACAGAGTAGAACGTTTATAGCCTCCCGAGATCTTATAGAGAGAGAAGGAGAGATTAATCGATTGCAGCAGGAGCAAATGAGTTTGACCGACAAACCCAGGTTGACAAAACACACGTGACCCGCAAAAGGGAAGCAAAAGCGATTTAAAAACGATAAAACTAAATTACAAAAAAAAAAACATTAAACAAACAAGAAATCAGCTTTTATACAGAAAGCTAATTCCATGATTTTTCATATTTTTTCCTTATTATTATAATGGATCTTCTAATTCGATCGACTAATTAATATATTGCCGTATAAAGATAGTTTTGCAGATCGGCCCTGCAGTAGTACATATTTGCAGCAGGGGACAAATGACGGACACAAATATCGACGTAAGAATCCCAATTAATTTATTATTTGTCTTCCTGCTATTTTAATGCTTCTGAAGTGGCGCATTAAAAAAAACATTTAATTCGTGGACAATAGTGGTGAGGCGGGACAAATAGATAGGCAACAGGGTTGGTCACTGGCTGCAATCATAGATGATGATAGCAACTGTTGCATGCAAAGTATCGGGTGGGTTGATTTGAGAAAATTATTTTCGGCAATGCTACAATTTATGATTTAATTAGTTCTCACTTTTTTGTTTTGCAATTAAATGATTTACAATAAAAGAAAAATTATGTCAAAATTTTGAATTTATTTCTAAATAAATATAATATAAATTATTAATGTGATACGCTTACTTAAAATAATTGAAAGAATATGATCATAATGTTTTAATCATTTGTGGTATACATTTTTTCATATTAAAATACTGCAATTTTAAAATTTTTGAACTTCTTAAATGATATAGATTCTAATTTTTTGAAATTATTGTAAAAAGCAGTTGTCAAATAGAAATTATGATTGTGATTTGAAAAGCAAAGTACTAAGGAAACAGTTCTAAACGAAGCCATAAAGTAGGGGTCACGATAGATTAAATACTTTCGTTTGATTAAGGTTTCGCTTGGGACGACTATCTTGCTGCTTCTAAAAGCAGCTTTCTAGTGCAAAAATTTTAGTTTTTCACTAACAAGCTGCTTTTAGAAGCAATAAAAAAGCTGTCCCAAACATATTCTAAGATTCGTTAAATACTATGCTCTATAAATAACGGAGGTCTCATGAGTTCGTTGTTATTTGAGTCAATAAATTGCATAAGAGCTAATCATAATTTTACTCAATTGCTTGTAGGTAGGGTCATTTAATAAATGCAATTATAACATATTTCAAGAATATTAAAATTATGGCATTTGGTTGAAATTTGTAAAAACTTTTAAGTTATAGTTCACCTTTTTCTCTCTTTTTATTAATTTCTTATCCATGAAAAAAATTACTCTTATCTCAATTATTTCCCCCTAATTTCTAAGTAAGAAAAAGGACTAATATATTTAAATATTAACCAAATAGCATATTTTACAATTTTATCTTTTAATGCAGTGAGGAATTATTTTTCTCAATAAGATTTCCTATTCATTCAAACTTTTGATTTTTTATATCATATAGCATTACTCAAATATTTGTAATAGTAAGCGAGTTTGTATATTTGATCAAAAAGTCCATATTTGTTTATATAAACTTTATTTATTAATATAATTCATGTTAAAAAAGAAATTACTTTTTTGGCACAAATCTTGTGTTGCCATCCACTATCATCATCCCGAGAAATTATTTTATGCGGACACCGAATGTCCGGAGGCTAATTAGAACACGCCACATCACCTAGTACACAGCCACGGTACACGTCAAAATATGTATCACATGTATTAATTTTATTCTCGTCCAAATAAGTCTAAATATTTCAATATATTCATTTTATATTTGCATTTTATTTTATATTCTCTTTTCATCCAACAAAATTGTCCTAATTCTTTTAGCACGATCACTTAATTTAAGCCATGAAAAAATTGCTACTTAATTTTAATCAATACTAATAACCTTAAATAACATCATCAGTGTAACCCAAACCAATCTTAGGCTATTCAAATCATGAATTATAGGGATAATTAAAGCTTAAGATATAATTACTAAACCTAAGAAGGATTAAACCTTTTTTAAGTAGGTATAGTCCTCTCCTTTATGCAATCTCCTCCTAGCATCATTCCATCCCCCCACTTGGCTATCATGCTAAGTGCATGTACCTAATCTCAATCTTTAATTAACCATGGTTAACCATGGTTTAATCATGGTTAGTTTAAGAAGGATTTAGAGAAATAAGCTAAGATAGGAAGGGAAAGGCTAGTCAAAATTGCTCAAAGGCCTAACTCCTAAGGTTCAGTCCCATGTGTGTTGGGGAAGATGAAATATGACTGACCATCCAATTTATTTAAAATGTTGACTTGCACAGGCTTTTTTAAGATTTTTGTTGTGAGCTATCGAATGAACTAAATCAGATTTTTTTTTTTTTCTGGAACTGTATCTTGATATATAGATTCCATTAAAAATAGTTACATGACATTTTCATACCATTTCCTAATTTTAAAAAAAAAGCAAATAACATCTATTTTAGTTTAATTAATGATCAATTGATTTCAAAAAAATATGAGCACACCATAAAATCTTCAAGCTCTAGAGATCATTTTTTTTTAAACACAAACACAAACTTTATTAAGATAAAAAAAGAGTACAAGAAGCATAGGAACGAAACGATAAAAAAGCTACATAAGATACAAATGAGTTACAACCCAACGGGCTTAGTAATTGGTCGAGGCTTCCAACTACACTGAAGCCAGGAACAAACCATCCAGTTTGGTTCAGAGAGCAATAACACACCAAGTAGCCAACCCAACCGAGCAAGAAACTCACCACCAAAGGTTGCCACGAGCCACGGCTACGAAGCAGTGAGCCCCAGCCACATCATTGACTAGAAAACAAAAATGGCTAATTGTAAATTTAAAATGAAGCTCCAGTAAACCGGCAACAATCAAAGGACAACCAATGCAAAAATCAACAACCATAAAGAAGAAGCAAAGACAACCGAGAACAGTAGCACCAACCCACAAATTATTTCTTCCCACGTTTACACCTCCCACGAGAGAAAACAAAAACAACAGGACGACCATTCTGCAAAGTAAAATCAACCCCAGGTTCATCATCCCCACTAGCCTCCAAAGATGAATCGGATGAGCATTGAAGTCAATCTAGTTGCATCCTAACACTCTCCCCTGCATTGGCACCCACATGAGCAACCAAAGCCTTAGGTGATAATAAATTAACAAGGACCTCAACAAAATGACCAATTACAGTTGGTGTAACCAGAGAAATAAAAGTAGGAACAACACCACTAGCAGATCCCTCACTCACCATACCCGACGGTGTAACCGATCTATCCCCACCCAAATTAATCGAAGAGTAAGACATCCAAGACCCAGGGGAAAATTCATTAGGGATGCCAGACTCACCAGAATCCTCCACAACCACACCAGGCACCTCATTACCATTCAAAAAGCATGAGGCAGACACAACACCCACAACAGACAAAACAGGACAAAAATTAACATCACAACTCAAACGACCACCAACACTAGTATAAGCCCAAGGGTCCTGAATAGAAGGTAAAACCCCAGCCACGACATCCTCAGAAACCTTCATAGTAGACCCAGGGGCTACAACCTCATCAACAGAAACCACATTGTTCAACGAATTAACATGCAAAGGGGCATGAGAAACTGGCACCAGAGACCCCATTTCATGAACAGGAGGTACAAATAGAAAGGCATCAAGAGACAAAACAGCTACAACATCCTCAAGATTACCACTGACACAATCCAAAACCTGCTCCGCAGTCTCCTTCACAGAAGGGACAACAACATTTTCAACCAAAGAGGGGACTAAATTAGAGCTCGGGTTAAGAGTAGCATTACGGAGAACACTCCAGCCAGAACTGCATTTACCTGGAACATGGCCACCACTTAGAAGATGCACAGAAGGGGGGAAATGCATCTAACACAATCTCCTGCACATACCCTAAAGTTTCAAAGTCTAACTAGACTTGATTAAGATAGGATTGAGTTATATCAAGCTCCACTAAGACACGGGCAATAGATGGTCATGAATCAATAGAAGTAGCTTCATCAATTTTCAACAGCTTACCAAAAATGGCACCAATGTCATGAAGAACATGAGGGGTGTATAGATGGAGATGAAGATGCAGAAAAGATAATATCAGTATAACAGTCGACTCAACATCAGCATCCAAGCAAGGCGACCACTTCGTTAATTTCATATAGCAGTTGAAAACAAGATAAGATCTATGGCAAAAATCCTTATAATAGTCTAGGTCATTAGCTAATTTGATCAGAATGTGTGAAGGATCCAGCAAGGTAACAGATACTTCGCCATTTAGCTTTAGGTTAAAAAAAATTTCTGAATGGTGTCAAGCCATGGAATGTAGAAGGGAAAAAATTAACTAAAGAAAATTGAAAAGGGATAGCCAGATCCTTGATTTCCTGGTCAGAAATCAAAAGCATGGGCAAGCCATGGAATGTAGAAGTCCGTAAATTCAAAAAAGAAGAAGACGAAGAAGATCCAGCGAGCGCATCTAAAAAAGAACGTGAATGAGAAAAACCCCCAAGAAACCAGGGTCACGTAACTTATTCGGTGCCATATCGGCACCGCCAGAGAGAAATCGATAAAAAGAACCGAGAGAAGAAACGAGTAATCACCAAAACAAGTAGGATACAAAGAGAAGAAGAAAACTTCCCTGAAATCCAGGAGACCAACCGACGAGGAAGCCTCAGCGGGGCGGGGAGAACCTCGGCACAGCCCAATAAAAGAAACCCTAGCAGAGGGAAAGAGCCCGAAGGGAGCAATAAGCTCTAGAGATCATTAGTTTCATACTTAATAACTTTTTAAAATTAATTTTTCATTAGTTAAAAATCATCATTGCATGAACTATGATGAAATTAAAAATATATATTCAAGTTATTTCAAATTTTGTAGGATAAATTGGTACTTTTAAAAATTTAAAAAAACTATTTTTTAATTATTTTCTTCAACTCTTTCAAGTTAAAAAAAAAAAACTATTTTCTTAATTTTCAAAATATGAAAATAATTATAAGAAATCAAGTTTCACATGTTGAATGTTAGTGACCATGCATGGCTTTAAATTTAAAATCATTTT